GTCAGCTTTCCTGCTCCTCTGATGCTGCTTGGCCTGCTGTGTTCATCCAGCTCTACACCTTGTTATCTCTAACTTGTAGGTAATTTTGCTCAAATTCACTCAATACTTGTCTCAGCCACTTGAAAGAGCAGCCCATGATCAAAGGCTCCTCTGAACAGCATTTACCACAATTTGGACTGCAAAATCTGGAAGTTTAAGGTTCTTGCGAAAATTTATAGCTCGGATTGTGGGTAAGGGTGTTGACTTGCTCACCGAGCTGGCTGGTTATAGTTCAGACGTTTCGTCACCACTCTAGGTAACACATCAGCGCGGCTTCCGATGAAGTGATGTTGTTCAACTCCGCTTAGAATTTATATGATCCGGTCTGTTAAGGTGTTTTGTGTCATTTCCAGTTCTTTTTTGCAAGGATTTGTATATGGGGTCTAATTCCACATGTTTGTTGATTGCATTATGGTTGGAGAAACAGGCTTCTCGGTTGGCTATCTATGGTTGGCTTGAGCTGGGATGGTCATGTCGTCTCAGTTAAATTGATGGCCTTCATTGTCCGAGTGCACTGAAATGAGGAAAGTTTGTTGTGTTGTTTTGTGGCTCGCTGGTGCTTGTGTATCCTGATGGCTAGTTTCCCTTGGGGTATCCATTGATAGCGAAGTTCAGGTATGTTGCAGAACTTCGCAAGAAGAGGGGAGCACCTATACAAGGTCTTCGCCGTCATTGGATACCCCATCAACTTTATTTGCAGATGCCTACTAGATAACACCAAGAGGACACAATACACTGGCCACACTACCGTATGTCAAGAACATATCGGAAATGACAATGAGACTCCTATGACCACGAGGAATCAGGATAGCACACAAACCCACAGCCACACAACGACAAACAGTCACAAGGGCCAAAGACCCCATCCCCACGATGTGCTGGATCAACGTAGTGTACAAAATACCGTGCAAAGACTGCCAAAAACATGATATCGGCCAGACAGGAAGGAAACGAGCCATCAGGATACACGAACACCAGCTAGTGGCAAAACGACACAATAAACTTTCCCTCATTTCTAGTGCACTTGGACAATGAAGGCCATCAATTTATCTGCGACGACGTGACAATCCTAGCTCAAGCCAACCATAGATAGGCATGGGAATTCCTAGAGGCCTGGTTCTCCATCCATAATGCAATCAATAAACATGTGGAATTAGACCCCATATACAAACCCTTGCAAAAAAGAACTGGAAATTATACAAAACACCTCAACAGACCGGATCACATAAATACTAAGCGGAGTAGAACAATGTCGCTTCATCGGAGGCCGCACTGATATGCTACCTAGCATGGTGACAAAATGTCTGAACTATAACTAGCCAGCTTGGCGAGCAAGTCAACAACCTCTAGATTGTAGTTCCCATGAAAAGCTTTATTCATTCTAGTTTATTCTCAATAATTTCATGACTTTTGTACTAAAACCACCCACATTTAAAGAAGTGCAAAATAAACTAGATTTTTAGTGTTAGCGTATTAAAAATAATAAAGTTGACACTCATAAGCAATGATATGATTTGATTTGATTTACTGTCACATGCACCTAAGTACAGTGAAAAGCTTTGTTTGTGAGCAGTACAGGCAGATCATAGTAAGGATGTACGGATCATAGTGCAATCACTGTGTTTTATTGTCTCTAACGAGCAATGGGCTACATCTTGCACTAAGGAATGGCTGTGAATATGGTTACTAAATAAGTGACACCTCCCATGGTCTAATTATGTGTTTACTTCGGTTAGCTTTGTGTGGTGTTTGTTTGTAGTTTGCAGTCCAGGTTGAGAGAAAAGGACTGAGTTACTCCAATTTTTATTACTGAATGAAACTGGATCACAGCAAATGAAATTTAGTCTCTGCCACCAATGGTGAGACAGAGGAGAGATGCCCAGGAGGCTGCAGTTGAAATATTGTTAGGTGGCAGAAGGTAGTTGCAGAGGTAGGAAAGTGAAAAACCACGCAGCAATTTACATACATATAGTAATTTATTGTTACTGGCCTGGAATGTTGAGGGGAAGCCTCTATAATTGTCATTGAGACTAGTTACCTATCTAAATAAGGAAAACTGGCAGATTGTCAAGCCTGGATTACCTAGTATCTGTTAGGATGCTTCACTGAGGTGTCTTCCTGGCCACATTTAAAAACAAACAAAAGAAACAAATAGCAAACAGGGAAGTTGGGGCTAACTACTGAATGGATTGTGATTGTAGCGCCAGCCAAACAGGCAGTGAGAGACAGTAGGTCTGTCTGGATTGCTTGTTCACTGGTCTACTGCTAAGTATCTATCTCCAGACAGGTGGTCTGTCCCAATTGCTACTAGACACTGGCGTTGACTGGAAATTCTGGGGTGGGAGGGGGTCCATTAGTTAGCTTTAACAAGGCTCTTAATGAATCCAATTGCTGAGCACTAGTGCAGTAGCTGGCTTTCCTGGGTCTTGAACCTGTATTGGCTATAATGATTGTGGTTGAGAATGGGAAGCTGGAATGTGAATTAGCCTCAGTTTTAGGGCCATATCCATCTCATTCCCGATGTTGGCAGCAAATTGAGTCCAAAGACTGTAACAGATTTACCTGCAGGCCTCAATGGGATAAATCTGATAAACTGCAGCAGGGTGTTCAAGGATAGCTTTCCTGCCTGGGAGCAAACCCCCCTTAACTTAATTCAATTTAGTTTGTTTCCCTTGTCCATAATTAAATTTATTAGGCCAGTTCAGGTTCAAGTGAATCTTTAGGGTCAATTATTTGAAAGCTGGCCTTAGTGCTTGATTGTCAGTGCTCTGCTGCTGTTACAGTGCTGAATTTTGACAAAATTAGTAGAAAATCAATTACATTATCATTTCAGTTCAAGACGTTATTTAGCTATGGGACACAGGAAATCTAACACCATACCTTTTTCCTTAACTCCTTCACCTGGAGGGCACGTTTTGTGAATAAATGCCATCTGACAGTTTTTGTCTTTGCAGTAATGTCCGTTTCTGGGCTTACACTCTGTATTGCGTGTATAAATGCAAGGCTGTTTAATTTGAAGTCCCATCTCTATAAACAAAAAAAATCAATGAGCTACAAGGAAAATAAAAATGAAATACTTCACATTTTATCCTAAGAGGTAAGCAAGAGATATAAAAAAGTAAAATAACACATTTTCTTTGAACATTACAATCTAAAGGATTCACTTTAACCTCTGGGCATCCAACCAATGAATGTCACCAGCAAACTGGCCAATCCTGTGAATTAGAGATGGCTGTGATTTGGTGACCACAGACCCGTTGAGATTGGCCCAGCAAGTTGTGAATGTGTATTGTGTGAGTGCGTGGATTGGAGCGGCGGGGGCAGTGAGACGGAGAAGCAGTGACTCAGAGCAGCAGGATCTCTACCAATTCTTTACTTGACAGTAACAACTATATTGGTTCTTTTAGTTTTAATTTCATTTTTTTATTTTTCCATTTCTTTTCATTTTTTCTCACAGTAATCTTCTGAGTGGCTATATTTTTCAGTTGATATTCTTAATGTTTTCCTTGATTATCGTTTGAAAAATCATGCATTCTGAATGGTTTCACTTTCTCTTCCAATGGAATATTAGAGAATAGGAAATATCATTCAGTTCATCTGTTGAAGTGCTTAACTTTTTTCATTTCTTGTTGGTGTTTCATTTCTACAAAAACTATTGAAAATAATTCTCAAAGTTATGTAGGAACTTAGCAAAAACTAACAAAAATGTGTCATTCAGCCCTTGAGTTTTGAGTTCATAAAACATTACGCGTCTCTGTACATTAGTTATTCCTATTTGTTCCATTCTGTTTGATAGCCCTCCTTCCCTAAAATCTATTAAATGCAGACTTTAAATTTTTCAATTGACCCAGAATCTACAGACTCTTGGATGTAGTTCCATATTTCCACTATACTGTATGTGAAAAAGTGCTCCCTGATTTCATTTAAATTAGCTCAGTTCTAATTTTAAGATTATGCCTCTTGTCCAGGGACCCCTTCCGAGTTTCTCTGTACTGACTGTATTAAATCCCTTTTCATATTTCAAAGACCTTGGTCAGTTCAGCTCTCTGATACTAAGCCTAATGTAATATAAATTTTACTTCGGTAACATGCAAATCCTTTTAATTCCTACGATAATTCTGGTGAATGTGTGCTGTACCTTAACCAAGGCCAATGTTCAAGTCAACAACCTGAATCACTAGACCTAACTTCCCCTCTCTACAGATTGATATTCCCTGACCTGATGGATGGCTCCAGCATTTATATTTCATCTTAAATATGAAGACAGTTGTATTTTCATCCTCAATTGCTTAACAATTAAATGCCCAGGTGGGCTATATTATGTTGAATTGGCCAGTCTCAGTGTCTAAACATTGTAAAAGTTTCAGGCAGAAGACTTAGCCATGGCTCCCGTTCCTCTAATACGTCCAGTGACAAAATAAATTAATTTGGCCACCACGACCAATACCATCAACAGATAATCTCATGTACAAATAATGATCATTTAAGTGAGGAACAGGAGAGCTACTGGTAGCCGTGCAACCACAAACAAACACAGATCAAGATCCTTGGGGAAAGGAAAGAACACCAAAACCATTCTTTCACAGGAATTGTGATATATGACACTGACATTTAATCTAATCACATCTACCTCCAAAACAAACAAGTAAAAGCAAAATCATGCAGATGCTGAAAATCTGAAAGAAACAAAATGCTGAAAAAGAGTCATACTGGATTTGAAATGTTAATTCTCTTTCTCTTTCCAGAGATGTTGCCAGATCGGCTGGGTTTCTCTAGCATTTTTGTGTTTGTTGACTCCAAAACAAAACTTTGACAGAAAATTCGAGGTCAGATTTGAAGATGAATTGCACAATTTCACCATTTATGCAGTGACACAGTGATGAATCTGAAGGTCACCAACAAGGTGTACAACTATTGCTTGCTAAATATCATGGGCAGAAAAATCAGTTCATGGCAATATGATGCAATCTTAGGTTGGTTCACCACGAACAGACAGCACAGTTGGATTTTGCAAGTAATAGTCAGCAGCACTGTCTATCCCCGGGAAATAACACATAGCATCCTTTAGAGCACTATGTAAATCAACCTTTTCCCCTCATTTTAAAGAGCAAACTCATTAAAGGAAAACTTTGAACAATCAAGTTTTGCTAAAACCAGAGCATTTCTCATAACTGTTTGAATACTGTTCCTGACAAAGTATTCAGTCTCCAAGCCCAATTTGAACATATGAAATAGAAGAAGGCATAGGTTATACTATCACTGGAGCCTCCCCTGTCATTTAATAAAATGGATTGTGATCATGGCCTCAGATGCACTTTCCTGTCCATTCCCCATACTCTCAATGCCCTCTGTTTAAAAATTAATCAATCTAACTGCATCTTCAATAACTGGACTGCCTCAACTCCAGTTTAAAATGAATATGATTGTGATATTTACCTGGATCACAAGCTTTACATTTGAAGCATTTATCTAATCCATTGGGATGTTCAATATATTCTCCAGCAGTACATGCCTTGCATATTGTACCTAATATTTTGGTGCAATGTTTAAATACTATAGTGCCTGCAATTAAAAAAATTGTAAGTCAGTTATGAAACAACAAAGTTTACAGAATGGGCAGGAAACTGTTAACAAGAAGGGTTTTGCTGCAAAAAGCTTTGAAAAAATAAGTGAACCTGTTATTAGAACCATAACCATTATAATTTTTATGCAGAATAAAATACTATAATAGAAGTTCAGAAAGAATAGGAAATCTATAGTATAATTAAGGAGCTTTATGTCTGTAAGCATACAAAAAGTTCAGATACTTACCCATTAGTTACCATTAATGCACGAAGAAAAGTTAAGCTGTTGCATTCAGGAATAAGTGAATTTTTAATCGTATGGTCAGTATTGTTAGCAAACAGCATGGCACAAAAAATTAATTTTGAGCACAAATTTCATTCCTTCTGAAGTTGTTTGTGTTGAAAAAAAAAGTTTTAAAATCTGTCTCTTTTATCTCTTTCAATTAATCACACCTGTCTTTCCTAATCTTTATTTTAATCTGTAAAGGATTTAAACCCAATTTGTCTTTTTGTTCTTTCACAGGGGAAGTGGTAGTATAATCGTAATATCACTAGATTAGTAATCCAGAACACCAGGTTAATACTTTAGGGAGAAGGACTCAAATCCCACCGTGGAAAATGATGAAATATGAGTCCTATACAAAACAAAATCTAGAATAGAGAGCTAGCCTATTTATAACCATTTATTAATTGTCATCAAAACCCACCGTGTTTACTAATGCCCGTTAGAGAAGGAGATCTGCCACCCTTCCCTGGTCTGGTTTACATGTGACTCCAGACCAACAGCAATGTGATGTTCATATCCCAGGAACAAGTTTTTTTTCAAAATAAAGTTCCTAGTTAAATGCTGCAGGATTGAAATAAAGCTCTACAGTAGACAGTACTGGTCATGACAGTTTAGAACAGGGACCAACACATACCTGGTGAACACATGGTACAGCAGTCACCTGCATGTTCATACTCGCTTACATCACAGGAAATCACAAAGTGTGGATGAAATGTCAGTAAGATGACGAACAAAATCTACAATAAAATAAACGAACTTCATGCACTTGCGCGGTTATATTTTACTTTTAAGTCCTATTTTCCCATTCTACAATTCTTTAAAGATGTATTAATCTGTATATATAAGTGTTGTAAGTCAAGGTATTTCACAAGAACTCTAAAAAACAAAATATAATGCGGAGCCACAAAACGAGACAATAGGGAGATGACCAAATGCTTGGTCAAAGAGGTAGGAGCATCACAAAGAGGAAAAATTGCTCCTGAACTCGTGGAGAGACATAAGCAGGGAATGCTGGAGCTATGCTTCATCATTGATGGATTAGCCTTCTTTTCAACAAGATACCCGTCTTCCTTCAGTAAAGTGGTCAATTCTGAGTTTTGGCATTCTCCACCCATCAAAACTGATTATTAGTGGGAAGAGAATGTTTTCAGTTGGAACAGTTGTCCTGCTGAATTTTGTAACAAATTTCATGTTTTATTTCAAATGTATAATTATGGAAGTCTTCATTTAGTTCATATAAATTGTTAAATAAAGCAACTTGCTTTCAAATATTACAGTGCTGAAACATGAGGTGCCTGGAAGAAAAGCCTGATAGACGTTCCAGCAACTGCATGTGATTAAAATATTTAAAAAATTTAAGTATAACGTAACAATCACCTTGTTAAGGATTGAAAAAGCATTTCTAATCAACTGAAGGAGACTTTTAACAAAGTTCTAGATAGAGAGTACTGTTGGGACATTTTAAAAACATGCTTTTCTTTGTCATGTAGACTTTGTGCAGGTAAAAAGAGGAAGAAGGACAAGAGTCCCAATAAAAGAACAAAGTCATTTTAAATGGTCAGCAAAAATTACTGACAGGGTTTCATCAAGATGGATAAGTTTTATTGGTGAATAAGACATTTTTTTGTTTCATTAAAAGTTTCATTTTGCAGGTGAGAAGGCAACTCCTGTTAAATTATAATCACTTTATTTGAATGACAACTTTACTTGAATGTTTCATGCCAAAAATCAGCTCTGAGCTACAGGAGTGCATTTTATACAAATTGAATAATTCTAGGTTTAAAAAACATTGGCTGGCTGAGAAATTATGAACGCTGAAAAATCAAAAAATGTTAATTGTTGCTGTTGAATTTTAATTAATAGTTTTGAAGGAAATATGAAGCAATTTGATTTTTGGGCCACAAGATCATGACTGGCATGTTTTCCTCACTATGCACATGAATCTGTGTGACTAATTAAACAGGTAGTGAATGATTACTTGACATAGTTAGTGAACTATTACTAATATCCCAGGTGCTGCTAG